ATTAAGACATTTTTATGTTTATACATACTTTTTATAGATACAAATATTTAAGTAAATTCTCTGTTTATAATAATCAGTATTATACAACATTTACCGACCTGAATGTCTGATAAATTTTCATAGAAAATAATCGTCCTCCAATAGGATGGAGCCTGTATCCTATATGGAACCGTCATATAGCCTGGCGTGCCTTTAACCGATTTGGCCACTGAGGAGCGTTCGGTTAGCGAGGTCTTTAAACTAAAATCCTCCATGATTCTCTCATGTACATTCATATCAGCTCATGGCGTATCCAAATGTAAACAAATGACGTCACACATTATTAAACGGACAAAGTCCGACAATTATTTTAAGACATTTTTATGTTTATACATTCTTTTTATAGACACAAATATTTAAGTAAATGCTCTGTTTATAATATTTATAAAAATTTCACGGATATATATATATATATATATATATATATATATCGGTCCATTTTTACAAGAATTAAAATATGTAGACATAGGTTCGGTTTGCACGAGTATAAATGGTGTTCATGTGTCCAGTTTGCACGGTAGAACAAAGACAGGCCGGTTTGTTTGAGAATGAAGTTCTATGCATATGTGGACATGCTGGTTTCTTCCGAGAATTTATTAAAATAATAAGGAAGTAGGCTTCGAAATTCTGATGCTCACGATAGAGATATAGGGCAAGAGGGACAGAGTAAAACAATGCATAAAAGTAATTGGATGGCGGAACAGGGTTTAGGCAGAATAACAGAAAGACAAGCTTTATTAAGAGCTATAAGGGACAGGTAGTTGGGGAAAGAAATGAGAGCTTACGTTTTGCGGTTAAACGGCACGAGATTTATAAAGATAGGTATTAGTCCGGTTTGTCCAAGAGTCACAAAAATAGACATTAGTCCGGTTTGTCCGAGAGTCACAAAGATAGGCATTAGTTCGGTATATACGAGTGTCATAAAGATAGGCATTAGTACAGTTTGAAACGAGTGTCACAAAGATAGGGATTAGTACGGCTTGTACAAGAGTCACAAAGATAAGCATTAGACCGGTTTGTACAAGAGTCACAAAGATAGGCATTAGTTCGGTTTGTACGAGTGTCAAAAAGACAGGTATTAGTTCGGGTTATACAAGAGTCACAAAAATAGGCATTAGACCGGTTTGTACAAGAGTCACAAAGATAGGCATTAGTTCGGTTCGTACAAGAGTCACAAAGATAGGCATTAGTACGGTTTGTACGAGTGTCAAAAAGACAGGTATTAGTTCGGTTTGTAAAAGAGTCACAAAAATAGGCATTAGACCGGTTTGTACAAGAGTCACAAAGATAGGCATTAGTTCGGTTTGTAGAAGAGTCACAAAGTTAGGCATTAGTACGGTTTGTGCGAGTGTTAAAAAGACAGGTATTAGTTCGCTTTGTACAAGAGTCACAAAGATAGGCTTTAGTTCGGTTTGTACAAGAGTCACAAAGATAGGCATTAGTTCGGTTTGTACGAGTGTCACAAAGATAGGCATTAGTACAGTTTGAAACGAGTGTCACAAAGATAGGGATTAGTACGGCTTGTACAAGAGTCACAAAGATAAGCATTAGACCGGTTTGTACAAGAGTCACAAAGATAGGCATTATTTCGGTTTGTACAAGAGTCACAAAGATAAGCATTAGACCGGTTTGTACAAGAGTCACAAAGATAGGCATTATTTCGGTTTGTACAAGAGTCACAAAGATAGGCATTAGTACGGTTTGTACGAGAGTAACAAAGGTAGTCATATGTACAATAAACAGGTGATCCCTTTATGGGTAATTTATTCAACTTCACGGGTATACAATTGCCGTAAATGCATAATCATTGCTCCTCTTTGTTTTAAAAATCCACTTCGCTGTTATTTTAAAGTTAAAGTAAATATTTTTTTTTCAAATCAGACTTTAGATACATTAAATCACATAATATTCCACAAATAAAGTTTCAGAAAATATATTTTATTTTTGGGAGATTTTGAAAACCGCAAAATAACTTTTGTTTACAAATATATCAAAATGTGTCAAAAAGTATCTGTCTATATTTCTGAGATGAGATATTATGTACACTATTTACATTATGACGACAAAGATGAGGACAATAGTCCGAATAATGTAAATAGTGTACATAATGTATCAAAAATCCCAATCAATATAATTTTCATATGACTATTTGGCTTATTGGAAATAGTAAATTTAATCATTTAGCTTTCAATTAAAGCTAAAATAAAATTTTCCAGACTGTTTTTCATTTTTTTAAAAATCATTTGAAAACAGCATTATCGAAAATTCAGTGGAGGTATCTAATATATATATAATAGAATTTTGGCGATCTAAGCAAATCATTATAGCAATTCATCGAGTATAAAAGAATCCTCAACAGAATGCAGAAAGAAATGGACGGCTGTTTCGTCCTATTTTGGGAGTCATCAGCAGTGCGCATCCACTAGAGAGATTCGAACCCGAGCACTCTGGATAAAAGTCAAGCATCATACCAACTGTACCAACAGAACCCGGTAATCGCGGAGGAACTGAATAGACTCAATATAGCGCTGGTACTCACGAATTCCGTGGTGATACTCATTCAAGTATTTATAACCCAAGAGCCACATCTTTCCTTTGCTCCGAATCGCTCCGTCGCAGAGGATTAGCTGGGTCAAGCAAGGATATACAAGTAATAGAATTTTGCGGATTAGGCAAAATATAGTAATTCATCGAGTCTAGAAGAATCCTCAACAAAATGCAGAAAGCACTGGACGTCTGTTTATATATTTAATCCTTGAAAATGGCTAAATGCATAGCCGAAAGCGCTCGGATAAAAAGAACATTCGGACAGTTTTTATATAATTTATCATCCGAAAAGAAAAAAATTATTAGATCGCATGAGAAATTGTATAAAAAACTAAATAAAAGCACTTTGTCTGTTGTATAAAATGAAATGTACATGAAAGAAGGATAGCTGCATAAATACACAAAAATATATATATATATATATATATATATATATATATATATATATATTAAGAAATGGACAAAGTCCGACAATTTATTTATTAAAGACATTATGTTTAACGTTCTTTTATAGATGGTATTTATCAAATCCACCCACGGGGATCGAATGTGGCACAAGGCCTTTTTTATAATGGGTATGTCTGAGCCTGTAGGCCCAGCCAAAAATAAAACCCATCTAAACCCGTCCAAGCGGGCTGGTTCCGTCAACCTCCCCAACGAAACCCCACACCCTTCGGCGGAGAGCTTCGTCCGTTCATCTCTGCAAGCAGAGTTCGACAGACACCGACTCGGCAGCTCACAAAGCGCAGATACTAAACTTTGATCCCAGCCACCGGCCAAGCGGGTATTCTTTTTTATGGATGGTATTTATCAATCCACCCACGGAGATCGAATGTGGCACAAGGCCTTTTTATGTGGGTATGTCTGAGCCCGTAGGCTCAGCCAAATAAAACCCATCTAAACCCGTCCAAGCGGGCTAGTTCCGTCAATCCCCCCCAACGAAACCCTACCTTCGGCAGAGCTGTCCTGGTTCCTCTGCAAGAAGAGAGTTCGAGACACCCGACCGGCAGCTCACAAAGTGCAGATACTACACTTTGATCCTAGCCACCGCCGAGCGGGGTATTCCTTTTTGGATGGTATTTATCAATCCACCCACGGGGATCGAATGTGGCACAAGGCCTTTTTATGTGGGTATGTCCGAGCCCAGGCCCGGCCAAAAAAAAACCCATCCGAACCCGCTGATGCAGGCCAGTTCCATCCAACCCTCCCCGAACGAAACCCCACCCTCGGCGGAGCTTCGTCCGGGTTCCTCTCTGCAAGCAGAGAGTTCGACAGACACCCAACCTGGTAGCTCACAAAGCGCAGATACTACACTTTGATCCCAGCCACCGGGCCGAGCGGGTATTCTTTTTATGGATGGTGTTTATCAATCCACCCATTGGGATCGAATGTGGCACAAGGCCTTTTTAATGGGTATGTCTGAGCCCGTAGGCCCAGCCAAAATAAAACCCATCTCAACCCGTCCAAGCGGGTTAGTTCCGTCAACCTCCCCGAACGAAACCCCCCTTCGGCGGAGCTTCCTCCGGGTTCCTCTCAGCAAGCAGGGAGTTCGACAGACACCCGACCCGGCAGCTCACAAAGCGCAGATACTACAGTTTGATCCTAGCCACCGGGCTGAGCAAGTATTCTTTTTATGGATACAAGTATTTAAGTAAATGCTCTGTTTATAATAAACAGTATTAAATAACATTTACCGGCCTGAATGTCCGAGAAATTATATATGTGTCGGTGGCTGTTTGTGTGGGTGTATATTTGTGTGTGTGTGTGTGTGTGTGGCTGCTCGTTTCCGAGTATGTCTGTCTGCCTAGTCGTGGTTTATATGGCCACTATGCTTAGTGGATCTTAGTTGCAGTTTCTGCGAGATAATGCATCATTATTTGAACAAAACGCTCAACATCTCGGTCACGATGACTTGCGACTTCGTGTTAGTACAAACATCGACGGCTTTCGAATAGTTCCATCTACCAAATTTCACTCAAAAGTTTTGGCTTAACCCATGGTATGATTTTTAGATACTCCCAGGCAGATGTTATCACATGTATTTACACACTTCTCTGTATTTATACACTTCTCTGTATTTATACACTTCTGTGTATAGATCAGTCAGTCATTTAAATGTCACCGGTGTTTCAACGTGATACACGCTTGAGCGATCATCTTCATTTTGATACATGACTGACTAGGCAGAAGATTTTCCCGCAGTAAGGTACTGTTTTTTTTGGGGGGGGGTCCGGAAGATTGGTTTCCATCCAACCTGTTAGTCAACTCATAACTAGGGGAGAGGATAGAAGGATTCTCACCTTTCCCAACTGCATTTGCCCATAAGTGACTCTAACGAACCCAACTGGAATTGGAACTCGGCTCTTTGATTAACAATTCGAGCCATTATGCATTACGTCACCTGCACATCAAAGCTTACAGCACCTGGTATTCCAAAGCGGCCACCTATCTCGGTAGTGACCAAGCTTGACGTTGCTTAACTTTGGTGATCGTACGGGAACCGGTATTTCAACGTGATGTGGCTGGCATCCAAATGATTTTGGCGTCGTTATCAATGTGGTCGGTTTATTAGGCTATTTATGATATTTTCCTTTCTATTATTGTGGATTCTGTAAGCTTAGCTTTTTGCGTTGTGTATTCCATATTTAGGATATTGGAAGAATTTAAATATATTTTCAATGTATTTTTCTTCATCGTAGAATTAGTAAGGACCACAAGAAAAGGACCGATAACAGTAAAATGGTAAACAGTTGGTGACGAAATTTCCGGACAGCCCTCGTCCATGAGGTATTATTGTCGCAGGATTTAATCTCTCCCGTAAAAAAATGTCAACTCCTAAGGAGAGTACACGCGGTTAAATTCTCAGTTTTCCTTCAACTAGACCAGCTACGACATAAGAGAAGTAAGTTCAGTCTTCCAAACTATTTAATCTACAGCTGTAAAAAAAAAAAAAATAGATAAATTTCCTTGTCAACGGAAGAGAATTCGGCACTCTGGATTTATTTTACGCGCCGATAACAGCTACGCTACACACATACACACAGACACATACACACAGACACAGACACACACACACATACACACACACACATACATATATATATGCATTGTTATTTTTTAGTATTCTTATCTTACATTTCTTCATTATTATAAACGTTATTTTTAGTAAGTGAAATAATTGCCATGCGTGATACACGCGTAGGCGATCATGTATCTTTCGATACATGATTGACGAGGCAGATTTGTAAGGCCTTGTATATGTTGACATGATTCTCTAGAGAGTGGTAAAAGCCATCCAGCGAATGTCACCGCCTATCAAGTAAATGCTTATAAGCTAAAGTATAAACGACAAATATTTACCTCTAGACCAACACAAGTATAAACGATCAAAACTTGCCTAGATGCAGTGAGCAAATCAAAATACTATCGACTGGCTCGAAAACTCACTTGATTTAAAATCACTCGAGAATCTATGGTCAATCTGCAAGGAACGAGTTTCTGGAATGGACGTAAGAAGTACTAACATGTGCACTGCGTCATGTTTCATTGAAAAAATATGAAAAAAAGTAAATAATAACGGAATTATTCGTTTTGTTTCAATTAATTTACACCGGGTTGTGTGTCCAAGTAAATGCCGAATAAATTTTTGCCTCGAGTACAAAGAGAGTGATATTGACGTAAAGCAACTGTCGTTACTGCGTCGTAGAATACACCAACCCATTCCATATACATCTTTGAAGTAAGCGTTCGTCGATATTACAGCGTGTGATAAAACAGAAATAAAGTTCTAAGAATATTCGCGGCCTATAATGTCAACAAGTCTGGATGTTCTTGCAAAGGCAAATCATTTGAACGGTTGTATCAAGTGTCACGGTGCTTAGCTGAGTGAACGAAGCAGATATTTTATTAAAAGCGGAAATCTCGTTATTCATGCGTCAGCATACAAGCAAGACATTTGCAGGATTCTATGTGCGTATATATGAACTTCATTTTGTGAGCTCACATTTGCCTTGAGCGGTTGAAACATGTACATAAACAGTGTCGTCAATCTGAAAGATAAATTATATATAACTAGCTAATGAATACGAGGAATGGTGTCTGATCTTTGACTCTTGGTAAGAGAGACAGAGAAGAGAAAGAAATCAACTTGTGTAATGACTGTAAAATGGGTGAGAATGTAGTTATTAAATTAAGCCCTGAAATACATAATAACATTGGTATTACGACCTTAAGAGAGATAATTTTATACTCACTTTGCGTGTGTCGATGGAGGCTGTGAATGGGTATGAACGGAAGAACACATAAACTGATATTCATTGGTCAAGGTCAAATCAAACACATGACTGTATCTCTTTTCTAGGCGAGGGACAACTAAACCAGCAAAAGGGAAAGCCTGTAAACACACGAATGGTCGATTTTAGCGATCTTCTTTTAAGTGTTGTATACCTTCGAGGCGTGGGCGATTATATCTCTCCACAACTACCCACCATTCATACTGCTTAGCAATGTTTGTTTCCTTAACACTCACATTCCCTGTTCTACCACACATTTAAATAGCTCGTTAGGAAGATTACTCTCTGCTTCTCTCTGTTCCTATTGCCATGAATATGTCCTGTGAGGGTCAAATTCTCCAGGCCTTCTTTTCACATTATGGGCCCCATAAATTTTACCTTCTTTTCACATGATGGGCCCCATAAATTTTACCTTCTTTTCACATTATGGGCCTCAGAAATTTAAACTGTATTTTTCTGATTCTACGTATAATTGTCCGTTAACCTTTCCATTGAAACTTCTTCACATGCTACTTTCTTAGCAGTCTCAGCATCATTCTGTAGAACCCCGTTTCTGTTACCTCAGGTTTCTTCCTTATCTATGAGAAAATTGTCCAGCATCCACTATCATATAGAAGGACTGGTATTACGTAGCATTTCAGCACTCTTTTCTGCTTCTAAAGAAATTTTCTTGTTTCTTAATACTTTGTTTAACTTTGTAAGGCATCTTTCGCAGTTCCGATTTGCTTTCGTATTTCTTTGACAAATTTTCCGTCGTCTCTTAAAACACCGCCTAGACAGTAAAATTTCTGTACTTATTTTTTTAAAAAAAAGACTAAGACAATGTCAGACTTAGAGAAAAAGCAATTACGGTCACGAAACACCTAATTTATTTGGACCGTAGGGGCACTTTGTGTATGACAGTCGGAGTAACAGTTGGAGTATCAAAGGCAATTGATAGCAGCTGGTATGTCTAGGGCAAGTAGCAGCAGAGTCCATCCCTTTTCCGGATAGTTTTGAATTAAGGTATGTTTTTATTCTAGACAAGTTACCCTATTATCGGTAAAGAGTCCAGTCTGCCCTGTTATTTAAATCATAAGTGGGGGAATATGGGCATAATGCTAATACAAATTAAGGAACTAGACTTCACGTTCGGCTTCAACAAACGAACATCTATAAAATAATTAGCACGCGCACACATGAACACACACACACTGAGGCATACACACAGCTATGCAAATAACTGATTGTGTGTATATGCGGATATATTTATTGATGGTAGCAACTATCGAAAATGGGGGTCTGGCAATTTCGACTATAATAGTAATACAAATGAATTTTATATTCTACTTACAATCCAACGGAGTTTTAAACGAATTAGTTGTTTGCTTTTGAATTTTTTAAACCTTCATTCATTCATGTGGATGAGACAAGACGCAGAGGACATTTTAATAAGCTCTTTCAAGATGATTTCATGTTTCTAGGCAAAACTAAAGTGGAAAGTGCGATATTGAAATCTGAATGAGCTTTGAGATAGCCAAAGTTGCCCTTCAAGAGCTAAGCAGAGTATTAAGAAACAGAAAAAATCGTCAGAAACAAAGAAAAGAGTACAAAGCTGTTATGGTATATCAGTCCTCCTATAGTGAATGCGGGACAATCTTTCCACAAATGAAGTGTATTGAAGCAACAGGAATGTGGTTTTACATAAGGATGCAAATGATACCACTCATTAAAAATGTGAGCAACGACAAAGCTTTAGAGGAAATGGAAACAAAAAGAACACATAAGAACACTTAACATCAGAAAGAGACAATTGAAGTTTCTATGCCACATAATGAGGAAAGAAGGCTTGGAAAATTTGGTACTCACAGGATAAATTGAAGGCCAGTGAGATAGAGTAATACAATGCATAGCATACTTAGTGGGCACCTCAGCGTGGTGTAATGCTTAACAAGCTTATCTCCATAGGCCAGTTACGACTGAAAAGTGACTAAGCATCCCATACTTTCAGCCTTGTGCCACATCTAAGCTACGCTTAGAAAATAACCATAGCCTACGTAGTGAGCTTGAATAAATGAATGGCGGAACAAGTTTCCGCAGAAATAACAAAAAGACAAAATTTATTAAGAGCTACAAAGGACAGGAAATAGAGGAGAGTCATGATTGCCTATGTTCTAAATTCACACGACTCACAGAAGAAGAAAATCCTTTTTTCATTAATTAAAAGAGGAAAGGGTTATCGGACCCACAAATAATTACTCCATTAATGTATAAATCTTAAAATTTCACAATAAGAGACATATGTTTATTATGAATACCCTCCAACGGGCGCACAAGATCTCCTCATTTGTGATATTATTGACTTGGGGTCATGACAAGTTTCAGGTTTTTCAACATCATTCCCGATAGATCTTACCGGAACAATACCTATTCCAGCAGGTGAATCTGAAGCAAATGCCTACCCGCCCGCGCACCCACACAATAACGAATATCTCATATAAACATCTGTAACTATGATTTCGAAATAGCAAGCAACTAAGGAGAAACGACCTACGTCACTTCCTACTGAGCCATGACGAGACAAAAGAAGAACAGACCGAATTTTCATCTTAGGTCCAACATGCGGAAAAAGCCACATTATCAATGAACACTGCTTGACATAACTGGTAAGTAATTTCTACTTGTCGTCGGGAAAGATTTTATCTCCTATGAATTAATATTTTACTTAAAAACAACAACAGTCGTACACATTAACTGGTAGTAGGAATTATGATCAGAAACGATTTCTCTTGGGACAGCTAAAACCATGCATGCACAGGGTCGTCGTCGAGGAAGAAATTTAAAAAAAATAGCGACCATCCTCACACACTCGACTTTGGTCATCTCTTTGTATATTTCTATCTTTTTTATTCTATTTCATCCTTGAAAGTCAAACAGCGACCTCAACGCCCTCCGATTTCCTTCGTAGAGTTCCATGGATCTGATCTTTTAATCCATAACCATATTATAAACATTTATATTCATATTAAATGAAAATAAATAAACGGTGAGCCAGAATCACTTCATCAGTGATGTTATTGACTTGGGGTCATGACAAGTTTCGGGTCTTTCAACATCATACCTGTTCACCCAATCAACCCTACCGGAACAGTACATATTCCGGCAAGTGATCCTGAAGGAAATGTCCAGCAAGCACACAAAAATGAAAACCTGTTATCAGTGAGCTTGAAATAGTAATTGACCAATCAGAAA